TTCCAGGCTTAATGAGCTCTTCTACTGATTTTGCTACTCAAAACCCTGACGTGACCAAGAAACCTATGTTTTCTGTTGGTGTTACATGGAATTGGGTTATGGTGCTGCTGAGACGCATGCCGGTCCTGGGGGTTGCAGATGCCCTTATTCCCTTAGGTATTAATATCATCACTCTCACTCACGCTTTCTTATTGGTATAGTTTATAAATAATGTTAATATCTAAAGAAATACTGCACAGAAATTTCTCAGAGTCTCCTAGTTTTATAGTATTTTTAACTGGAGGGAGAAACACAAATACTAACCTAAAACTGCAGACACAACATGAAATAAATTTTGTAACAATAACACAACCTAGCAGTCTGAGTCACAGCCAGGCAAACAGTATCCAGTATCTTTTTGACGTGTAGCATAGGGGACACTTCCCGTAGTAACTAGAGCCATCTCATGTTGCTAATTTGTAACTTTTCTTAGCTCTGCATTCAGTAACATCATGCTGGTGGCTGGCAGTCAGTCATGGTGAGAGTATTCGCACCACAGAAATTAGCCAAAACCACAGGTCAGGGCCTATCCCCTCCACATTCAAGAAGCCCAACAGGGAGTCTAGAGTGGCTGCAGCAGAGATAGCTGGGTTGCTTGGGGAGTGGGGGTGGGAGGGAAAGCCTTTAGAAGTGAAGTAGTAAAGTTAGAGGGGATGGATCTCAGATCATACAGGGCCCTCAGGCAGGGGTATTCAGCTATTACTTTGAGATAGGATGCCTCTGAAGGGTCTGGAGGAGTATCAGAACTTTACAAAATGATCTAAATTACATTTTAAAGGGTCTCTCCTTTAAAAGAGACTAACAGATGCTCTATTGCTTTCTCCTAAGCAATATTAAAAGGAATTCCCACTCACTAAGGGGGCTGCAAGAATGCATATTAAGGAGCAGTGGCAAGACTGGAAGCACTGAGCAGACATGTAAAGTTTACTGTGCTTACTAAATAGGAGAAAAGGAAAAGTGGGGGAAAAAGGAGAACTAATGCACTAAAATTCTCATTTTGGCATTGCTCAAAGTTTGAAATTAATGAGTAATTTCTAATTCCATTTCCCAAAGTTTGCACCAAGTTACCAGGGGTACCACCATGAACTCATAGGAATTCAGTGAGGCATTTCTCCAAAGCAAATACACACATGACCGATAGGCACAAGAAAATACGGTAAAGGTAATAAACCTACACGGAGAAACCATTTGACATCTATTAAAACAGCTATAAAAAAACAGACAATAGCAAATATTGGTTAGGGGTGGGGAAATGGGGATCTTCATATGTGAAGGACAGGAATGTAACCTTGTGTACCTGGGAACTCAGTGGGTAGTTTCTCACAACAGCTAAATGCACCAACCATCCCTCCTGCAGTCCTAATGTCTGTCCACAGCAACCAACCCCAGTTCCTTGAATAAATCATGACTATTCACACCTTCCAGAAGTTATTTATGCTGTACTTTCCCATTTTTCATGCCTTTTTATCCTTGGATTTTCTATTCAAATAAAATGATAACCTGTTTAGTGAGGACAAGTATACGTAGAGATAAGTAAACCCCAGTGTCAGATTCTCGATTACAAACTGGTTTGCAGACCCCACCGGTCCCTAAGGGCACAAGTGTATACCTTTTCTCTCCGAGCCTGCTTCTGCAGGCCCCAGAGTGAAGAATGGGGACTTACTCAGAAACCACATTACCCGGAGATACCGAAGGAGAGGAGCGGTTTGTGAGCTCCAATCTCAGGTGGAGGGAGGGAGGGAGAGGAACAGGAAGTGGAAGGGGATGTAAAAAGAATTAAGATGCATTAAGCACACTACCAACTCCTCATGATGAACGTGATCCTTGTGTACTGCAAACATGTACCAATAAAAATCAAAATTAAAAAACTGCCAAGAGCGTTTAGTTACTATTCAAAAAGATTAGGAAACACTGATCACGACTACAGTATTTTGCTCTTCATTTCACAGTATTTATTTGCACTTTTTCTTTACAGTAATTTTAGTGTTCAGAAACATTAAAATCACATAGGCAGAGCAAAGGTTGCCATGTCCTGTGAGAACAGCAACCATCAGAATGTGCGTGAAGGGTTCCTCCGATGTCACCTGGGGGACCTAACCCACACTTCATTCAGCCTGGGGACCCATGATCTGCAAACTTGTCAACTCGATAAAAATTTGTCTTTAATCCTGAATTATTATTCAGGTATCTGCACAGAACAGTTAAAATTTGAGACTCTGGATTTGTTTTAGAGCTTATGTCATAAACAAGTGCATTTTATATGCTGTTTAGTGCCATATTTTTTGTTCCTGTTTAGGTTTCACTGTTTAAAATGGAGCCAACTGCAACACTGAAGTGCTCTCTATGGTTACTAAGCCCCATGGACTATGATGTGCTGTATGGGAAAAATGTGTTGGCTAAGTTTTATCCAGGCATGAGTCATAGTGCTGTTGGCTGAGTTCATGGCCAGTGAATCCAGAATGTATGTTGTAAAAGTTGTTTTTAAGCAGAGAAATGTACATAAAACAAGGTTAGGTGTTGACCAATTATGGAAATGCTGACCAGAGGCTCAAAGGAACTTAACTCTATCATGCCCCTGGAAGCAATGATTTAGTATTCATTTAGTGTAGAAAGAGACTGCAGAACACAATTATTGTAAGCAGTGGCACCTGACTATATTTAGCTTTTAAGTGGAAATACTATGCAAATCTCAATATTTTACCACAGGGAATAATGTGCAAAAGGATTGTTCACCAAAAACTAATCCTAGGGCTGACATTCCATGCATCTATCTCGCAAATCCTGAGGTCTGAGGCAAGACACAATTCTAAACAGCACAACATGAATGTAGCCCAGTAGAAATTATGTCAATCTTGGAGCTCTAGCTGAAGCTCTGCTCTGGACCAGCTGGGCAGCCTCATAGATATAATTCTCTTTGGTCAAAAAGATGAAACACACCTCCCTGAAGGGCTTTGTGGGGATGGACTCTCTCATGAATAAAGACCTTCCTCCTGAAGCAAAACAAGTCCTAGTCTCTGCTGTAACACAGAACCAAATGAGACCTGTATCTTGAAACTCAGGAGAAAAAGGTTGTCCTGACATCACCAGTACAGATCTTGTATTCTCTAGCTTTCAGCAGCCAGCTGAAGACCAAACCCTCCATAGAAGGGCTGTGTCCTGTGCCCATGGGAAGCAATGGGGGCTGCTGGGTGTTCTTGCAGCGGGACTAGCTGCACTCTGCTGATCAATGATCATACGCGTCTGTTGGATTCCAGCTGGTTCGCGCACATTTGCAAGAGACTGGCAGAATCTGTAAGCACAAGGCTGCGGTGTCCATGTCTCTTCCTTAATCCACAGTTCTGACAGTTGACTCAGGAAGGCAAGTGAGACTTTACCATTTCACATTTAATATTAGGGCAAGTGCGGGATGGGATTGTCACTGTTTATCTCCACTCCCACCTTAGCTAGGTAGAAAGTACGACTTCTACCCACATCAAATCTGTATACAGCTATCCAATTACAAGGCAAAGCATCACCTGAATGTGAATCAGAAAAATTTTCCAAATGAACAATGGTCTAGGTTTAAAGGGGCATATGCAAAAATAGTATAGTTCAATGTGTAACTCTGTGAGAGATAAAGAAAATAAAAAGTATCCACAGGTACAGACATCTCATACATGCACGTACCCACACAAAGTGCTGATGACTACACCATGTGCTTTACGTGTACTGTGCCATTTAATCCTCACACCCCTAGGCAGATACTGATGGAGATACTGAAGTGCAAGGTGGTAGAGCTGGGAAAGAGTCAAAGACTGCCCGAAATTATGCAGGAGGTAGAAGACCCTCAAAGACCTCTCCATTTCCGTGGGGCCTTCATAGATTATCAAACCATGACACCAACCCCAGTTCTACTCCCACTGTGACAAGCTTCACGGGAGATCCTTGCATCAGTTACATCTTCCTGCAGCAGCCCCCTCCTCGGGCCCAGAGCCAAGAGATTCCTACACACCTTACTAGGAGTCAATGTGCATCAGGAATTGAACAGAGATATGATAATAAAGGTCAAAATAACAGCTCATTCTTGTTAAGATTATTATGGGCCAGACATTGCCTCAATAAGCTTCTGAGGCACTAAAATTATCCCTACTGAAAGAGGGGGAAACTGAGGCTTTGGTAAAGTAGTCTGCTCAGGGTCACAGAGCTAGAAAGGCACCACTTCTGATGACAGAACCTATCCTCTTAATTGGCTGCCCTGCCCATAAGACAAAAATGGAAAATAACATGGGTAAGTCATCTCCAAACCAGTCTCATTTAGCTACTGGCCTCTGTGTCTTCCTAGAGCCTTGTTCCAGATGGGGCAAGAACTCCAACAGGCTCATACAATGACTAACCTGGGAACGTGGGATGAGGAGTGATCACTGCGAGCACGGTGGGCATCCCACGGGGCAGACAGTTTTCCTTCTGCCTGACTCCCTTGGACAGGAGCAAAGATCAGTGAATAAACAGCAGTTGCATCCTTGGAGATGTGGAAGGAAACTGAGGTCGGCTGAGACTGTGGCCTAACTTGGGTGGGGACGGCGCAGAGCAGCACGAAGCCCACCAGGCCACATCTGCCCGCCTACCTCAGTCCCTCAGAACAGAACAGGGCTCTGGGCCTCTTCTGCATGCGGTGAGTCTGAACAGGCTCTCCACTGGAGGGAGCCGTGTTTCTTCATCAACCTGGGATTTTATTTTTTTATTTTTTATTTTAAAGAGAGTAGTACATGAGAAACAAACAAAGAAAAAAATAGAACAGTAGCAGCATACCAGTATCACGAACATAAACAAATCAAAGCAAGAACATTCAAAGTGATACATGGTCTCAAGACAAATTAATACAAATCAACAGCAGTTGTTACATTGCATATCACTATCCTCAACAACTTGGGATTTTAATGGGTATAACTGAACTTACCAAAAGACTTAATTTAAAAATAGTATTTCAAAATTAAATTTCAGATTTTAATAAGTAAACAGACTACTATTTTGACTGACACGGCGTACCAGATTTACTGTTTTCCTTTTGATGTGTGCAGATAAAGATCTGGCTTTAAAATCATCCAGGGGGCTAGTGGCAGATACAGAGGAAAGTAGAGGTGAAACAAGACTGGCCATGGCTGCATCCTGTGGAAGCTATGTTAACAGAATGAAATTAACTGTCTCTTCTCTCAATTCTTACATATTGTTTAACTGTTTCATCAATGTTTTCTTAAAATATGGAGGTAAATTTAAGTAGTGAGTCATCTTTTTTTTTTTTTTTTGGTACAGGCTACATGTACTGGTACTTAGAAATGATACTGCACTGTGTGCTTGATAGATCCTTAACATTTATATGGATCCCCTGAATAGTGACGATGACCCTCAGGGTGCTTCTCTCTTTCTGTCATTTAGCAGACCCTCAGTTCTTGGTGTCTTGCAGAGAACTGGGCAACCATTTCAGCCAGGAAGCCACCTATCTACCTGCTCCCATCTACCTGCTCCCACCCCTAGCACAGGGACTGCAGAGCCTTTGCAGAGGTGAGCTGCCATAAGCAACAGTCTTGGCTGAGTAGAAATGAGGAAGAGGGAAGCCTTCTTCAGTATTCAATGTGGAAAGGATAGTCTTTGTGATTTTTAGTTCTGAAAAGCAGAAAAACAAACAGAAAACAGGAATTATTATATTTTAAAACAAACATTTTAAGTGATACAGCTAACGTATTTTAATCCCACAATGTATAAATTAGTCCTTGATGTCATTCAGTGGAACATTTTCCAACAAGAATTATGATAAGAAGGTATAGTCACCCTAAAATGTATACTGTAAATACGTTTTCAGAAACTGATCATCTAATCTACACAGTACAGTAGCCCCGTCAGTTATGACTTGGGTGATGCAGGAACAACTTGGGTTATGACTGGAATTTTAGTTTTATCTTACAACCAAAGTCTCAAGTTATGCCCCAAATGCTGGCTGCTTGTGCTGCCAGATGGTCTCAGACACAGATTTAACCCTCAAAATGTTCTGGAAGGAACACTACAACATCCTTGCCTGTATGGGGTTAACTGACAAATCCTGGGCCAGGGTCTCTCTAAGGACACTGAGATCTGCCTGTATATAGGAGAGAGACTTTGAAGGCTGTGTGGAGGAGCCTGAGCCTTTGACTGACAGCTTGAGTTACAACTAGACTTCAGGAAGGAATTAAGTTTGTAAGTCAAGGGTACACAGTATATCACTCCATCTATAAAGATAGTAAGGGAGTCACACTTACATGGGGAATGTGGTCAATCGGAGATTTTTATCTAGACTGAGGATGTCATTCATATCTTGCTCTGTTAATTCAAAATCAAATACCTGGAATCAAAATAAAATATAAATAAGAAATATAGCTTAATTCACATACATTATCTACAGCATATACTAAAATGGCAAAGGACATAAAGACATAAAAGAAATTCTACATTGGACACATGACTTCCTGTGAGTTATAGTGTAGGTTCCCCAAAGGCACTTTAATGTGATGATTTGACTGGTACTGGCCTAGCTTGTTTACATTTAAGAAATCTTGGACAGATGGAGTATCTACTGCTTTTATTTTACGGGAGTAAAGAGCACATGAGGAGAGCTAAAAGACAGCAAAGAACTTTTTTCACTGACCCACCTTTTCCCACCAAAGACAAACCACTGTCCCACACATCCCACCAACTAGGAAGTCACTCGGTCCCTAAAACCTTGAGCTCTAGCACCATCTATATCACAGAAACATTTTCCAAGTAATCACATTTTGTTCATTTTAAAATAGTATTCTAACCCCTTCCTATCCTTTGTCCCCCTAATATTTTCAAGAATAAAGACCCACTTCCACAGTAATTGCATTTCATAATGAGTATCACCACCTCTGGGGAGGGGCTGAATCAGAAAAGGGAAGGAAGGGATTATCAAGTGATTCTAATGTGCCCTATAGGGGGTAAGAGAGCCATGGGACCCTAACACCTATGCTCCATAAGACAGAGACTCTGAAGCCAGGAGAAATCAGGTACACGGGGTAAATAGGAATTTTGACTAGTGGACGGACAGGATAGTAGTTTGAATGAAGGGAGAAAAGTCACCTGTTCTAGAAAAGTCCCTGAAGCTAAGGTTGGAACAGCTGTGGGGCAGCCATACTCAGTGGGTGCTCTGAGACAGAGGAGCAGGCACTGGCCAGCACTTGTGATGCAATCCTCTGCCCTAAGGACAAGCCACTGGTATCCTTGGCCTCCTCCCTCTTTCCCCATCTTGGGCTGAAAGGAGAAGATGCCAAGTACTGGAGAAGAGAGTGTCCTTGAGATGCAAGAATCAATGTGTGGAAGGTTGACCAACATAACACAGAGGAACGGACCCAGGCTGAGTCCAGGTCACAGAACTCCTGTGACTGCTTCTTTCTCCAGTTAACACATTGTCTTGGTTACTTTTCTCTCATTGCTGAGACAAAATACCCAATGTCCAAAATGAAGGAAGGAAAGGTTTATTCAGCTTACAGTTTGTGGAGGTTTCAGTCCATACTTGGCTGGCTCCGAGGCAGAAGGTAACAAAGCAACAAGAGCAAAAGGGGAAATGGCGGCAAGCAGCTTCTTTCTCTGCCTTACTTTGTAAACAGGCTACCCCCACCTAAGGGGCATAGCTCTCACATAATCTCCATGCCCTCCTCTTCCACAGGCTCAGGATGTATACAAAGTAAGCACCCTGGCTTCCTGCTGAGTCACTTAGCCAAACCTCTAGACTCCCCAAGTTGACACAATGTATCAACTATAACACACATGTTCTAAAATGCTATAATGTAAAAGAAAAACACCTGCCTGGATATTCTTTTGAATCCGGTGTGGGGTGACAGATTTGGGAATCACAATTACATTCCTCTGGATATGAAATCGAATCAAAATCTGTAGGAGAAAGAAAAAAATAAGTCTGTATTACATGAAGGAAAATCACATGAAGTCAAATCTAAGTCATTTTCCTAACAACTGTAATAAAACTCCAAATGTCTCTTTCATACTGAAGTCCTTTAGAGATCAGATTGGCACACAGATCTACCAGCATATTGGTAATGACTGCCCCTGGCCCAAGGAGAAAGTCGGCAGACCTGACCACACCTTAATTAGAATTTCTTAACATGTGTCCAATCTCCCAAATAAACTGGGCATTAAATAAAAGAATTATAATGGAGGCTTTATCTGTACCCTTCCACACTAGCTGTCCACAGAGCTGCTGGGGCCACAGGGTATGCCCAAGAGCTTGTCCTGCATCCTGAGAGGCAAGGAGGCAGGAGCACATGGACTAGATGAAGGGGATATGGAAGCAACCAGCCCACTGCTCCATACTAGGAAGTTCTGATGAGTTACTAACTCATTCAGGGGAGCTAATGCCTGTATAGAGCCTGATGAGCCTCAAGGACTCAAAAAGGAGAGGACATGGAGAGGACGCTGGCAGCACAGGGCAGCTCTGACCAGTACCTGTGCAGGAGTCTTGCCATGCTTCTCTGCAATCCTCTGGATCACAGGGTCATCCATCAAGTCAACCCCCTTACTGGAAAGACACACAAGAGGGCAATGAGCCAGAAAATCTGTCAGTAATGCTTATGTCTAGATGTCCCCTCAAAACCTCAAGCAGTCATAGGTGGGGGGCGCTTTTTCGGAGATGACTACATCTGGAGTATGTGATTAATTCATCATACAATGTTAGGATTAAGGACGCTAGGATGAAGGTGTGAATGCCAGGTTTTTTGCCTCAACAATGAGCAAAGTAACTTAGAGATCAGGTTTCAAGCACTGAGCTAGTTGTAGGTGTCAAAGTGTCCAGAAAGACAGCCCACATATTTTCTTGCCATAGACCCAGGATTTCAGCTGTGACCTTCCCTTTGCTGATTCCCCACTCACTATATTAGAGGCCCTCTTACACCCAAGCTCACCTATGAATTGTGAACCAGACTTTTGTGATTTCTCTAGTTGCAACTGAGTCCAAATACACCTCGTTTCATATGGAAAACATGAAGAAAAGTTAATATGATTTCAGCCTTTCCTAGGCTCCTAATATATCACAGGTATGAAGCTACGGACTGGAAATAGAAGTGTTGTGGAACTTAGGATCAGGCCAGAGGGAAGATATGATACTGAGGAACTTTGGAAGGCATTTAGCTTTATTAGGGTAGTGGACTGATGGGAATCTCAGTTCCAAATCATCAGCCCCACCTTGGGGTTTCACAATCACTTATATAGGTTGTTAGAAGGAAGTACAAAAGGCAGATAACAAGATATGGTACAGTTGGTTACACATATCATATACTGCTAAGCAGAATTTATCTTAAGCAAGTTAATTGGGGTTACTATCATATAATAAGGTGGTATAGGTTATAATGAACAGGAAAAATAAATCATTATCTAAATCTGAGTTGAACTGTCCTTGATGTGATAAGTCTGGAAAACTTGAAAGCAAGCAAAACAACATGATACATCCTGGTCAAGTTACATTTATCTTGTAGCTGGCACTGGAATGTTAAGGCTCGATAAGTTTCATAATTTTCTAACTCTGGGAATAGGCTGTGCTTCCCAGATTCATCCTTATATAGTATCAGAAGCATAAGTTTTAAGATTTCCTTTACATTTAAAACTGACTCTTCAGAAGAATACCTAAGATAATAATAGCACTTGCAGTCAAGTAGCTTTAATTAGTGGGAGAGAGTGAAAAGAAAAAGTGACAATATACTGTGACAAGAACTATATCCAAATACAAATAATAGGGTCAGGAGGGCTTTCTGGAGGTGGTAATGCTGAGATGAACCTTAATAGATTTTCCAGAATAAAGAACAGTATTACACAAAGGCACAGAGGCTAGAAATACTCTATATAAGAGAATACAGGAGCTTCACAGGGTTGAGCACTGAAGGTTAGCAGGAAGGAGAAATAAAGCCTGGGGCAGAGACAGATTGGCTCAGCTGCATCTCACAAAACAGGCACAACATAAAGAATTTTTGAGCTGGAAAACAACATGATCCTATGGAAACACTCCCTTCACCTGCCATGTGAACAATTCACTGGATGGCATTAAAGGGCCCCTCTCAGAAGCTGAGGAAAGCCTTGCTTCACTAAGATGGAGACAGTGACAGTAAAGATTGAAAGGCAGATTGTCAGTTCTCTTGGCACAAAAATCAACAAATCTTTGTGCTGAATGAGATTTCAGATGAGGGTGAGAAAGGAATGATTTCCGAGTTCCTGGCTTAGGCGGCTAAGTGAGTGATGGCTCCTCCGATGATGGAAGGTGTACGGTACAAATCTGAGTTGCAGGGAAAGAGAACATGTGAGATTTGCATTAGCCGGAAACCAAGAGATCTAGGATATATCCTGGGTAACTGACTGCTGTACTAGTGGGGAACTCAGAAAAGGCATCTGTCTTGGTTACTTTTCTCTTATTGCTGAGACAAAATACCTGACACCCAGAATTAAGGAAGGAAAGATTTATTTAGCTCATAGTCTGTGGAGGTTTCAGTCCATACTCAGCTGGCTCCAAAGGCACATGGCAGAGGGCAATCGTTCACTATCTTTCATGGCAAAAGATGGAAAAAGCAACAGGAGCAAAAGGGAGGAACAGCTGCAAGCAGCCTCTTTTTCTCCCTTACATATGCAAACTATCTGTCCAGGCGTGGGAGTAGCACTCACACCCATAATCCCAGCATTGGATCATGGATCAGTCACAAACTCTAAAAGCCCACCCCATGACTGCATGAGGCTTTTGGGGGACATCTAGACAGAAGCCATAGCAGGGTCACTTCACGTAGGCTACACGTCCCTTAAAAGGCACTGCCTGCCAAAGTGACTCTGGCTTCTGCACCAACTCCCCACCTTTAGCGGAGTGACTGAGAGGTACAAAAAGCCCTTTGCAGTCACCCCACACCCTGTCTACACTTTCTGGATGGAGTGCCTGCAATTTCTCAAAGGAATTGGGAAGTTGGCATCTACTTAATGATAGTACCCCAGCTAACAGCTACTGATACATCTTTACCTTGAGCCACCAAGAGGACAGTAAGCAGTCACAGACACACCTCTGGCTTGGCAAAAACTGATCAGTCTCTTCTGAGAAAGATATGGGTGGCACTCAATCTATAAATAGAATCATAAAGTGCCATAAAAATTCAGACAAATAGCATGCTGGGAAAGACCTAGAAGAGATCTGCAACAGTGTCTTGGATGTCACAGACCAGCTCCAGGGATCACTGAGGCCTGGGTACTTTCATTTGCAAGTGAGGATGCTGGATTCTGCCATCTTCAAACACTGGGTGCTGTGAAGGTCTATGAATCTATAGTCTCACTGACACCCAAGCTGTCTGTGTGCTCCAACATCATCTGTCATGCAAGGCCTTCCTTGATCACTCAGGGAAAAGCCTAAACACTCCATAGCTTGCACCTCCCTCCTGTCTTTTGTTTTCCAGAAGATATAATTACCTGTCACCTTATTTTGTCTGTTGTCACCAGGATTTAAATTTCATGAACACAGGGGTTTTTGTCCGAATCTGTTTTGTTCATGGATATATATCCTAACTGTGGTAGATTAACTAGTAGTTCATTTAAGTGGGAATGTCCAGCTGAACTGAGTCAGCGTCGATTTTCCTGATACAAACTCAGCTGTTCTTGTTAGAGGAGGAGCTTAGGTCCTTGCTGTCATGGAGGATGGCTGTGATTCTCTTTGGAGGAGCTCTGGTCTTCGCCTTGAAGGTCACTTCCCGGCTTCCATGCAGCTCCCTCAGCCTGCTGGCACAGATCCTTCACCCCTCGGGCATAGACTTTCTAGCTTCCATCACTGGTCTTTGGGTCCTCCCTGTGCAGATACTTGATACAGACTTATGGAGGGCATTGCGGTGGGCTCTAGGCCTCTGCCTGGACTTGTGCAGGACACTGCCATGGGATCCAGGCCCTCAGTGGAATTCATGGGGTCTCTAAAGTGAACAGATCTCTTGCACTCCTCTGCATTTGATCTTTTGGGTAAATACTGTAAAATAATCCTATCAATTATGTGTCCTGTATTCATTCTATTCCCTTGCAAACCCTGACCACGTCACCAACACAGGAACGGCCTCTCTCTAGAGAGGGTACTTAGCAAATACCTGCTGAATGAGTCTGTGACACTAGGGAGTTATATGTAACAAATATACTACAGGTGACATCAATGAACTTTTTAAGAAAGCTGGAAGCAAGACTACCTCTCCTCCATACTCTCTAAATTCTCACATACAATTTCAGTTTATAAACACTTGATTTCCAATAAATGCTCCTTCAGAGAGAATTAAAGACAACTAGATTGCTCTCAGGATCATGCTAAAGCCAGCAGGATAAGCTGCCAGGAAAGCCAACACAAGAAAAGCCAGCCCTTCTGCAGCCTTCATGTCCTGTGCTCTTGGGTGTCCACACCCGACCTCAGGAAACAGACCCCTCTAACCTGTCTCCTTCCCCTAGGTAACGCCCACTCCTAGATTTTCAAAGTGCTGTTCATGAAAAAATCCTGAGACAAAAAGAGATACTATGCAAATAAACACTTTCTATGCATACAGGATTTTTAAAAAGGCTAAACCGAAGTAGGTCAGAAGTCAGGTTAGTGGTTGCTCTTCGTGATGTTGACTAAGACAGGATGTTGGGAGCTTCTAGAATGCTGAGGATACTTGTTACTCCTTTGATTGCTGAGAATTAGAGTATGTTCATTTTTATGAAAACTTGTCAAGCTATGCTCTTTTTGACTAATACATTTTTCTGTATCTACTGAAAACTTACACCACAATTTTTAAATTGTTCAACACATTTTTCAAAAGCTTATTTATTGAAAAAAAGCAAAAACACTAATTTAGGCTCTTTTCTGAATAATCTCAAATTGGAAAGTACCCAAGGGCCCACCCTTACATATTGTACCCACTAACAATAAATGGATAAGCAAACTGTTATATACTAACATAGTTGAATACCACAGAGAAATAAGAAGGCATGATCTGCACTCCCATGCACTCTGGATGAATATAACACTTTATTATGTGAAAGAGCTCAAACATAAGAGCTGATGATGCATTCCTGTTTTATTTATAAACATAGGCAGGTATTCTACTGGGCGGGTATGCTACTGGGCATCAGAACCACGGCTACCTTGGCAGGGCCAGGGGTGCTGACTGGAGAGGGGCATGGCCGGCTGCTGCTAGGGCACTGGTCACGCACTGCTTTCCTGATCTGGATGCTGGAGACAGAGCTATGCTCAGTTTATAGGAATTCATCAAGCTCCATTCTCACACATGTACACTTCTGTCTACATATGTTGTACTTTAACAAAAAGTCTAATTATTAAAATATGGCCTTTTGACATCTGAAACTAACCGATCAGACTAGCAAATGTGACAGTCTTTTCCTCACTAGCCTTTTCTCTGCATTAAAAAAAAAGAAAGAAAAAGAAGTGTGAACCCCTATTTAGGCAGTCTGCAAGCCTGGGGTGAAGGCATTCAGTCATTTATCCCCTTCCTATTGCCAGTCTGCACACGCTGGAAGAGGCGGGCGGAAGGGCTGGCCCAAGAGCAGGCCCCAGGCCCTTCGGAATATAGCTGGTGACCTGCTCATAACTCCACGTGGAGAAGCAAGCTCTCGGTCAAACCCCACTTCGCCAAGGGCACTAACTATACAGACTGTAAGGAAGGTCACTTGCTGGCTCACCTCATCACTTGCCTACTTGCTCTACCCAGTTACAATGTTGACGGCCACTAAAGAAAAGCTGTTTCACACAACACTTATCCTCCCACTTCCAGTACAGCCACATGGAAATCACAGTTAGGCGTCAAGTACACTGATTCAACCCTCTGACACTCCCACTAGCTCACCTGGTTAGTGATTGGCTTGATCCTCAAATTCTGCTTATTCAAAAGCCTCTCAAGTTGTTCATGGTTGAAGTTTGAAACTCCAATGGCCTTCACCAGCCCTTCACTCACCAGGTCCTCCATGGCCTAAAGGAGAACAAAAACACTGCTAGATGTAACAGTCTGTCTATTCCACTGACAAGCCATGTCCCTCAGCGACGCTGCTCGGTGGCCTAAAACTGGATCCACCCAGTACTTTTAAAATGTTTGACTTGGAGCTTCAAAACCTTTTCTGCACTCAAGCTCTCATCCTCGTTCCATCTCCTAATAGCTGCAGGACACTGAGCAAGTTACAGGACTCGTTAAGCCCCCGTTTTCTCATCTGCAAAAGGACAATACTGTCAACCTTGCAGTGTTGTTGTTTTATGGTTACATGACAGATGAAAAAGAGTTACAGCTGGAATCTAGCAAACATTCAGCACATTTTAATCCATTGTTTTTATTCTGGATATTTGTTGATATGCTGTCTAACAATTATGTCACTATTTATTTCACTTGCTCAACTTTCAATCCACTTACAGAATTCTCATCTTAAGCAAAATGATGTATCATCATTCTCCTATCCCATTTTATCACTTAAAATTTCATGGACTTTGAGGACAGAACTTTAACCTTTAACTAGCATGCTAGCTGGGACCCTGGCTTCAGAAAGAGACAGGGTCAGTCTTCAGGAGTAAGTACTGAGTAGTCCTGAGGCCAGTGACCAATGGGTGAATGTACAGACACGGCTGCCCCGCTTCTGTAACAATCACTAGAATCCTACTCATAACACGAAAACCTTAACAGAAGGCTTTCAGGAGGAGCAGCCTAGTGTTTTAGAAAGGGCTGAAGCTCCTGACACCTCAGATACAAGGCCAGTCTTCATGTGAGGGAGGGATGGTGGCGTGTAGTCACAGGGTCTCTCCCTGTCTGTGGTCTCTCTTGTCTGTCTTCTGGATGACCAGAGGCATGCACATAACCATATCCACCATCCTTACTCCAGTGGTTACAGATCTCATCTCCCAAATTTAAGCCTGTTACAATTATAAGTTTGAATCTGCTTTCTTTCCAGGTCTCAAGCACACTATTCCGCCTGCCATGCTGGTCAGTAAGATCATGCACACTGGGCGAGCTGTGCTAGAACCCACATTCTCAGGGACTCTTGCTGCCCTGGTCCTCTACAAGCCCATGGTTAACTTCCACAAGACTCAAACCCATCCCTTCCCTGATGTTCCAGGTCAGCAGTTCATTTCAAGCCCTCAGCATTTTTCAGCTCAGCCCCTGATACAGGCTTGCTGCTTGCTAACTGGTCCTCTGGGCTTCTCCCACCATCTCTGCTAACTTTGTCATGCTGCCAACATTAGGGCTCTGAAATGCTTCAGACAGAACTAAAAGGGAGTATAAAGTATTAATAGCAGTTGCCACTGGATAATGGCAACATGGAGCTTTAGATTTTCTTCTTTATTCTCAATTGCATTTTCTGAAATAAATATGATAATATTTAATTTAAAAATTTGAGGAAAAAAAGGAAATACATATTGTCAAAATGCTTTAGGGCAATATACCATTCTAAGTTAAAGGTAGCAAGAAAGTCATTGGAAGTCTCTGAATTTTCCAAGCACTCATTCTTAATTCACCCAGCAAACCTTGAGTCTCAGTCTCTGTGTCTTTGGACACAAGAAACTCAAGGTCTCACACAGCTTCCGCTTTGCAGATCCACTAACAAAGATGCCAGATGGTGCGGCTCGGCTTACCTCCCACGTGTCCAGGAAGTCTGTGTTACTGGGTATAACCATGCCACTGTGATCCAAAGGCATGTCGTCTTTTCCAGGCTGTGAGAAGCAAAACAAAACCGAACAGTTTACTGGAGCTTGTGGTCATCCCTGCTGGGAAGACTCTGGATAGATGGGGAACACAGCTCCCAGGAGATCTGTATCTAAGCCTTGCCCGGTCACTAAGTTACACCAGTCTGGACATGCAACTTCCTTTCTTTAAACCTCAGCCTCCACTTTTGTAAGACCCAGGATCGGGTGAGCTGACTCCACCAGCCTTGAAGCTTGTTGTCCACTTCTCAAAAGGCTAGAAAGGACATTCATGAAGTATCCCTAATTGTTGAAAAAGTTTAATAATTTCAGGTACAGAACGAGAGTAAGGGGACTTCCTATGAGCACATTCAGCCTTCTCTCAACTCCGTCATTAGGACCTTCTCTTCTTTTCTTAGAACTCTAAGAAGATGAGAGACAGTGAAGTGAGATACAAGAGTCTACAAGGTGTGGAGGGCAAAGAAAGCTATCATGAGGGGGTAAAAAATCTAAAATCATCACTCAGAAGAGTTGCAAGTATTAATGTGCAATCCACCTGCCTCATCCAGGCACAGTCCTACCACCTAGCATGTTACAGAGCAAATGGCAGAAAACACAAATTCATTTGCCAACACCTAATCATTTAGATTGTCCAATGTTCCAGCCTGATCCCTCACTCTATATCTTTAAAGGGACATGAGAAGGATTTATTGGAGGTAGATACATGATGTACTCAAAAGCAGAGTGTGGGGGCTCAGAGAGATGAAGCACCTGTTCCATAATTTAGTCCATGATGAACAGAAGTGGCTACTAACCGTTTTGCTTTAAAGCCATCTCCCATACTGACATTTATTTAAGCCGTCACAAAAACCTAACTACCGGCTAAGCAGTACCTTGAAACCCATGGGCCAGTGAATGAGGTAGAGGTCCAAGTAATCCAACTTCAAGGCTTTCAGACTCTGGCTGCATGCTGTCCTCACCAAGGACTTCTGGTGGAAAGTGCACCACAGCTGCGGAGGAGAAGGGAGACACTGTCACACAGCGCCACAGCCACATGCCAGAGCTCACACAGCATCTACTATTTGGACTCACAAGCTACTACCTGGAAGACCAAAAATCTAAGATCACATAACAACAAATAAAAGACAGATCCTGAGGGTAAGTAGTGACTTTATCTTCCCAAAAGGTCCATACAGGCCTCCGTAGCAGGGCTCCCTCTGCCTGAGTCCTACTCAAGGGAAGTTTAAGACACTAAAATATATTCAGTGGTACAGCTGATTGTTATTTGGATCTGCCAGGACCAAAAAAAGACAAAGGAAAACACTGTTTTCAGGCAAAAGGATATGAGTAACAATCGGAAGAATGTCTATATTGTTTTTCCAACTCATATACGTTATGTTCAAGGTTCTATTACTAAAGCCTCATAACCATTCAAGCTGACACAGGTAGTTAACACACAGTGCTTTATATTTGATTAGATATTCCTTCTATAGTCTTAGATAAGTAGACAAATTTATCAGTAATTTTCTCCTGATTTTTTCCATGCTCTATTAACAGTGGCAGAAGCTAACCTGAGGGTTTTATCACAGCAAGTAAAAACAAAACTTAGTAAGACAAATGGAAGTAACATGAAAACAAATGACAAGTATAGTGAATTAACAAAAATAAAAGACAAAAACTAACAATAGTTATCTCTAGGTGGTGAGTATAAGTGATTTACTTATTTTTATAACTTTTCCCAAACTAATGAGCACACATCCACTGCTGGCTATGATCCACTCAGAAGTAACTTGTTTTCTGCTTGCAGGGTAAGACCTAGAAATTTCCAGTTATCCACCTCCCTACTGTATGTGAGTGTCTGGAAGAAATTCTCTTTCCTCGGCCAAGCACACCCCAAGGATTGCTCTAGCCTCAAGAGCAATGATGAACGGTAAAAATTAATTACCTTCAAGTGAAACAGGCAAATCCACTATAGAACCAACACTGGTTCTTGCAATTATGGAATTTTAGGACTGGAAAGTATTCAGATTACCAAATTCTCATTTTACAAATGATTAAACTGTGACCTGAGCTGTCCAGCAATTAATACTCACGGATGTGGAATGACAGAACTGGAACCCACTGTCTCCTGCTCAAAGAATGTTGCCTTAAGTTTAACAGTAAAGGGATTCTTTCATTTCCATTAGCTTAATCTAGCTCTTGTATTTTCCACAGGGTTCACCTCCTAACTATCATTCACACCCATTGCCTCCTCCCTGCCCCTCTTCACTGTGACAGTCTAGGCCTGCATCTCCGCCCCACTACCGTGCTAACGTCTCCTGCCACTGCCCCACCTACTCCGACATCCCACACACAATGCTGTCTCACTTACATGTAATACAAACTGCCCGACTTAAAAACCTACAGGTTTTCCTTTGTCTCCAGGTAACAATAAAAGCTCCTTAAGTGACACGACAAGACTGTAATGACCTGGCCCCTCTCTACCCCTGAGCCTTTGTCATTTGCAGTCCTCCCATGTGTATGTTCCAAGAGCACCAAACTTCTTACAGATCCCTGCACCTGCAGTGCCGGATCATGCCTTGTGCCTGTGTTTAATCTGCTCCACTTTTAACACCAGCCTGACACATTTACCTGTACACTGTACCACTGCCAGTTTCTTATTCAGTAGGCCTAGACGGCACACGGACCTTTCATTTTAATGAAAATCACCCCACGTGATTCTGAGGTTGGGAATTTCTATGCTCATGAGTGTTCAGATGTCCTATTCACCACTGTACCCAAAGTGCCCATCCACCACTCCATCAAGTTTTAAGAATGTATTGTTAATTTTTTATGCATGTACAAATATACCAAAATAAACCCATTATTCTGTATAACTAGTATGAAATTTTAAAAAAGGAATGTATTACATAAGAGAGCCCTACACACCCTTACCTGAACAATCAAATATGTGGTATAAAACAAATAAAGCTACACACAGTATAACTTAACAAGAAGCTATGAAAATTCTCCTTGGCTCTGGCTGAAGTACAAAACAAAGTCAAAAGCTCTCATTAGGAAACTGGAAAATCCTCCATGGTAGTTTACTGCCGTTCTCCCACTGCCCAAGCCCAAAGCAGCTGAGACCCTGCAGCCCTCACAGCAGCCCTACCTTACTGACAATGAACAGCTCCTCTCGTTTCACAACACCCTCGTTGATCTTGCACTGGATTCCTTCTCCTACCTCACTCTCATTCTTGTAGAAGTACGCACAGTCGAAGTGCCGGTACCCCGCATCGATGGCCACCTTCACTGCATTAGTCACTTCTCCTGGAGAGGCCTGCAAAAGCAACAAGACAGGAGCGTTTCTTCTAGGGTCAGGAAACCCAACCCTGTGCACGCGAGAATGTGGAATTCAGGAATACATAACAACTGATGTCAATGAATTGGTATCGACCAGTCCTAAAATGAAGAAATGTCGGTCAGAATTTATTGACAACCTGAAGTCCAGCTCCTTCACTTAGTTGGGAAAATCTACAGGGATTCTGTGGAGAACTGAGCTAGCTATTCTGAGCTTCCGGAATGAGCAAAGGAAAGGATTAAATCAACTTAAAAAGAATACCAACTGAGGAACAAAGAGCTCCAAGACCCGTCCAGCATAATGTTAAGTGAAATAAATCAGATATGTAAAGTCAAATGCATCACACGGTTTCTCAATATGAGAAACCTGAATTACATTAAAGAGCAAAATATAAGATAATAGAAATAAGGAGATAGATCTTTTGAAAATGAGAAGGGACCAAGAGATGAAGGAAGGGGGAAAGGAGGGGAGGAAGGGGAAGTAAAAGGAATTAAGATGTATGTATGAGTTATGTATGAACTCCCCATGACACATGTGATCACTACATACTGCAAACACGTAGTAAGAAAAAAAGGGACATCTTGGCTGCTTCCAAGTTTTAGCAATTATGAATAAAGTTGCAAAAAAAAGACATCAGTACCCTCAGAGACACAGTCCATTTGTACGGTAAATAGGTGTGCATTTGCACAAAGGAGCATATGCTAAAAGTCAAATGCGTATTTTAAATGCTAGAAGCAATACAGAAGTTCAGAAAAGAGGAACCAGTCACAGGACACTGGGCTCTAGCAAGAGAAGGGGCTACATTGAGGGGCAGGGAAGGCAGAACACTCACAAAGTCAGTGAGCTAAGGCGTTTTCAAGGGCTTTTAGCTCAAAATGTATTTTTTCACCTCAGTTTCTCAGCAACACTATGAAGTTCATCAGTGTAATTACGTTCGCTTAACAAGCCATAGATTCAAAGTTGCTTAAAGCTAATATATCAAGTGTATTATATACGGTATATTACATACCTTAGGATATAAAGATAAAATAAAAATAAGAATGCAACAAGTGAAGAAGAAAACAAAGCAAAGGGAAAAACTATTTTTAAAAAACCTTAACAAACCAGATGCATTTCTGGCAAGGGCGTTCAGGAGAAAACCAATTTTCTAAAATAAACTGACAAGCATGAAAAGCAGGAAGTGATAAGTGACGCAAAAGAATCCATTACCAAAAACCGTATCTGACAATTTGGAAAGATGACATGAAATAGGAAAAAAATTCTGACAAAAATTTAACTCAAAAAGAGGTAAAGTTTAAACATGCTGTAGTGAAGGAAATGAAGCAATCCGGGGGGCGGGGCACCATAGCAGAGTTCTGCAAAATGATCAAGAAAAAATAATCCCCATTGAACACCAGCTTTCAGACGACAGAAAAAGCCAGACAGCTCCCAAGTCACTCTACAAAACCAGCACAATCCTGAAGTCAGTTCCATTTATCCAGTGCTTACGGGACGGCTGTCAAACGCATGCTCCGGGCTAAGAGCTCAGAACCAACCCCAACAACACAACACCCTCGGCCTCTGCAAGCAGACAGGATATATATTGTTTAAAACATTCGGACCAGCAGAGGTCGAATATTCAAATTCTGGCTCAGCCAGTAACTCTTACAGTGACCCCGCACACGGACATCTTTTTATCAAGGACTCAGGTTCTTGTTCTGTAAGAGCGCATCTGAAAGGCTTTCTGCTTAGTGCTGTGTCTCAAGTCACTGGCAGGAATTACAAAGTTCAAAGCCAAGAGGAGGCCGAACTGCTTCGGCTCCTAGGCAGCGGGTCCATCTGCCGCGATCCCAGAGAAGGAAGAAACTCAGGTCCCGGTTCCTCTCGGGTGGGCAGCGCCCCTTTTCCATCTGAGCGGCCGCGCTTCGGGCTGATGGACTCGGAGGCCGCCACCCTCCAGCCGGCTGGGCCTCGCAGCGCCCCCTGCCGGCCGGCCGCGGCCTTCTCCACCACGCGGACCCGGCCGATCCCCGCGGGGTCGGACACCTAGGGTCGCGCGCGTCTTCCCACAGAGGCCCCCGCTACGCCCCTTCGCGGCCCGCAGATCCGGCCGCCCGCCCCGCGCGCAGCGGCTGGAGGTCGCACAGCCGCGTTCGCAGGCGAGGGCCGATGGTCAGAGCGCCCTCGCTCCTCTCTCTCCACTCGCAACCCCGGGTCTGCCCCGCGCCCCTCGTCCTGAGCCGCTCGCGGCGGAAAAGGCGGCCGCCATCCCCCCGGGCCCCACCGCACCTTCCAGGTGCCCAGGCCGATCGGCGGAATCGCAGCCATGGCTCCCCGCTGCCCTCGCGCCGCGCTCTCGCCCGAGGAACCCCCGCGCCTCTGTTAACCCGAGGGCTCCCCCTCCCCCGCGATCCCTGATTGGCTAGAGCGTGGCTTCTCCTATTGGCTAGTGACGCTAGCGGGCAAAGTGGCTGTAGTTTCTCCGATTGGCCGGCTGGCACTGTTGCCAGGTTCCTGTAGCCATGACTACCTGCGCTTCAGGGTGCATCTTCTCGCTCCTGATTTATCTGGTGACTCTAGCAGTCTCCCAGCAAAATGGCTGAGGTCCACAGTTTGGGATAGGAGACACCATTAATCTGCCCTGGCCGAGGCGTGAATCTAGAACCTTACTATCTAGATTCACTTCCCTAGTGCCATCAAGAGTGCAAGAAAGACATTAACAACGGACAAATTAGTTTACTCACAATTTGGCCAAGTTTAGAGGGCAGCTAGTCAGCTCCCCTTGAACACACAGAAGCGCTTCAACTTAAAGGGAGGAACAGGAAAAAGTAGCTTAGCTTTACAATCCTAGTTATATAACTCCCTTTCAGCTTCTCAGTTTCACTACTTCTAGCAGACAGTGTGGGATTCGGTATCCACCTCTACGACACCTGGGTCTTAGGGTAAATCTCCAACTGCACCTGAGCGAGCTCTAACCTACTCCAGTTGTTCCACTGAGTACATTGGGCACAGCTGCCCCCTGGTGGTCAGTCCTAGCACTGCAACCTCAGGCAGGAAAAACCTGAAGGAAAACTCAGCTGTGTTCGGGTGCTCTCAGACAGTGGGGCTCTCAGGACTACTTCGAACTCCAGAAACTGAGAAGGACCGTGGTGCTATGTTTTAGATCAAAGATGTCCCCCAAAGCCCTCTACTGCAGCCCATGTGGTTGTCCCTGCCTGTCTGTGCACCGTTACCTCAGCAGTTCCAGGTCTTGGGAGATAGATGCTTTTCAGACAAAAGAGGGCACATCTGATTTTTAAAGTTATGAAGAGGAACAGAACTGTAGAAACAATAGGTGAGACTTGGCTGAATTGCCACTAGGCAGAGATGCACACTAAGAAAAAGCAGGGGGCTGAGACAGCAGAAATGCTAGCACCTGTGAAGCTTGAAACAAACCAAGGTGGAGCCCTGATTGCTGGTGGTAACTATGCCAAGCCCATTTTGACAGACTCAGGTTTTCACACACATTTACAGCACAACATTGAGCCTTTTAATTATTGCTGTAAGTCAGTTGTTTTAATAAATAACACCAGTAACTCAGGAAAATGTTTTAAATAATTCTGTTTGAATAGAAGGCAAGAAGCAGAATGAAAAAATCATGGCATGAAAGGTTAACTGACTTTCCTCCCATACAGCCAAGCAACTTATCCTCCGCAAAGGTTTCACCGAAGATTGCCAGTTAGAGTCATCTAAGCCAAAATAAACTCTTGTCCTGCATGAGCAGACTTTGATGGCTTGGACTTTGCAGCTGTCTTAAGCAATGTAATGGTTGATACATTGTGTCAATTTGAGAACTTTAGAAGTTTAACTAAGCAACTGAGCAGGGGGTCAGGAGCCTCACTTTATAAACATCCTCATCCTGTGCAAGAGGAGGGCATGGAGACAGTGTGAATGCTGCACCTGCCCTATGGGGTGGTAGCCTGCTTACAATATAAGGGAGGAAAAGAGGTTTGCCTCTTTCCTCTTTTTGCCTTTGCTGCTTTTGCTGTCTTCTGCTCTTCACATCTACCATGCCACTCTGCCTTGGAGCCAGCTGATTATGGTCTGAAAACTCCACAAACTTTGAGCTAAATAAATCTTTCCCTCTTTAATTTTGGGTGTCATGTATTTCGTCTCAGCAATGAAAGAAAAGTAATTAAAACAGAATTTTGTACCAGGAGTCGGGTCATTGCTGTGACTGTACCTGACCGTATGGTTCAAGAGGCTTTGGGAACGGCTTGTAGGAAGAGTTTGGAAAGGTTCACAAGTATGGCCTGAAAAAGCACAGCTGGAATGCCTTCAGGTGTTCTACATGGAAGATTCTGGTTAGATCTCAGAAGAACAGAAGACTGATAAAAAACCTGCTGGTAATGACCAGGCTCAGAAGGTTTCTGCTGGAAAGAAGGACTGCATTGGGTGGTGGGCTCCAGATGATGTGTGTTATGGCTTGGCAGAAAGTTTATCTGCATTTTGCTTGTGCCCAGAGACTCTACCTGAGACAGAGATTAAGGGTGGCAGACTAATTAAACTGGCAGAAGAAATTTCAAGGCTGTCTAATGTTGGGGCAGTGGCATGGCTATTGTTGGGGGCTTTTGGTCAGATTTATGTTGAGAATCAAGAGCAAAGAGCCAAGCAGGATGATTTAAAACATGGTGAGTTTGGCCAGAAAAGAAACTTTAGTAAAACTGTGCACTACAAAGATAGAGCTGAGATCTTGATTGCTGACAAGGAACAGGAGAATATAAAAGATGGCCTGAGGGCATCACAAGCAGCAGCAAGTCTCCAGTTTCTACCACCTCAAAACTGCAAAAATGAAAGACTTTGCTTTGAGAAGAAAGCAGCAGAGCACCATGTTCCAAAATGGTGGCAAATTCACTAGGTTCCAGAATGGCAGCAGCATAGAAAATTTGTTTCTTAGAGTTGGATTCACAGTGCCCAATGATCCAGGCACTCAACCCTTATACCCAAGAGAGAGGAGAGCTTGGCTACTGCTCTAGTTGGCATCATGCACATGGCACTGGTTTTAGACGCATGCAAAATGCAAGAGTTATGAGGTTAAGAAGGCTTCCAACCTGATTTCAGAAGGTCTGGGAGGCCAGACACTGTGCCCCTGAGAGGGCAGTGTGTGAAGTTGTGACTATAAAGCTGAAGGTATAGCAGAGACCTCAGAAGTTTGGAAAAGCCAGGAACATGGATCATATAAGGAAAGCTGCAAGAAGGAGCAAAGCATGCCTAAGAGAGAAACTGTGGGAGTTACAACCACCAGAAGGGCCACAGGGGTGGAGTCATGCAAGCCCTTTGGAGCTCACAATTTGCCACAGATTGCTTCAGATGCTGGGTAGGAAACTACAGGGCTTAGTGTTTGCCCTGCTGGATTTTGGATTTGCTTTTGTTCTAATCCTTTGTATTCCCATATGTAACTTTTGGAATGAAAATGTTTATTTTGTGCTGTTAAATGGTAGAAGTGTCTAACTTTTCACTTGTACAAGGGCTTGAAACTAAGAGTTTGCCATACATCTCAGAGGAGATTTTGGACTCAGAGTTTTCAGCGATGCTGAAACTGTTAGAAATTTGACAACTCTTAGAGATAGACTAAAAGCCTTTTGAATAAATGGATGTGCATGAGTCTTTGCAGGGGCCAGGGGTGAAATGTTATGGTTCTAATGTAATATAATGTTGATAGACTTAGTACTGATTCTTAAGGATTGTTAAGTCTGTGTTATAATGTTCAAGTTGTGAAATTATAAGAATGAGTATGTCTTTGTAGCTGGAGTCTAGTTTGAAGAAATGCGTCTGGTTGCCAAATTGACAAGGGGTGGATTGTAATGGTTGATACATTGTGTCAACTTGAGAACTTTAGACATTTAACTAAGTGACTCAGTAGGGGTCCAGGGTCCTCATTTTATAAACAACCTCATCCTGTGCAAGAGGAGGGCACAAAGATGGTGATACACCTGCCCTAGGGGGTATAGGCTGCTTACAATATAAGAGAGGAGAAGAGCCTTGCTCTTTCTTCTTTTTGCTCTTGCTGCTTTTACTGTCTTCTTCTGATTTGAATGGTTGGCCCTCAGCCATGCTACCCTGTCTTGAAGCCAGCTGATTATGGACTGAAACCTCACAAACTGTAGCTCTGTAAGTCTTTCCTTCCTTAATTTTGAATGTTGAGTATTTTGTCTCAACAGTGAGAGAAAAGTAACTAAGACATGCAGTGAACAGCTATAGAGATCATTAGATTCTTTATAAGCCAGCTATTTAAGATGAACAAAAAGGAAAAATGCTCAGAAAAGAGAATGCAAGATCACTTTGCTGAGCCAATGAAGACAAGGTTAAGTACGGAATCATGTAACATTGCACACAACCACCAGTCTTGATCTTTGACTTGTTCAGTCTTCAATAGTAATCTAAGTATGTCCTTCTGGTTTTTTTTTTTTTTTTTTT